TTTTCTCAGCAAGCTGTTTTCGCTTTGTTGCAATCAATTCCCAGAAGTTCATCGCAAAACTCCAATTGGGCATCCATAAGCCCAAGTAGCTCAGCATACGGATTGGAAGCGTCTTCATCAAATGCCAAAGGGTTGCCTAATGCGCCCTGTAAGAAAATGGATTTCTGTCCATTAAATTTATAAAACCTATATCAACTCGGGTTTGTTAGATTGGTTGACACAAGAATTCTCGCGGTGTAATCAAGTTGAATTTTTTGGCTAGAAGCCAAAAATTGGGTCAACCAATTATTTTCTTTTGACCCCATTAAACACGAGTAATAAGTCGAACAAATCCATCAGTTTTGCTACAGTATTTGAAGGAGGGCATGGAAAGAAATTTGCACTGACTTTAAACATTTTCGTCTATGAGCCGCCAAAGAAAGGAAAAACAGGATTATGATCAAACAAAGAACCCTACCATCTCAGTGTATATCGCTAACGCTCCGTCCTCGAGATCATCAGGACCGGTATGAGATGTTGAGGGAACATCCATGGTTACCCTTAACACTTAACATTTGACATTACTCATCAGTCATCCGTTCCAATTTCGATTCCATAAGTGTAAAGAGCTCAGAAAAGCACACTAAAGAAGGTAATATCGTAGAGAAACGTTAAAAAGCAAAACTGAAAAATTATAGTTGACCATCTTTATGTGCATTTTATATTACCGCATTCAACGTCCGAATGAAATGGCAAACAGATGAGAATCTAATCAATTCTAATAATTTGTTATTCTAAACATCAAGTATTTCCTAGTGATGACCTAACAATAACAACATCATCAGGGAGAAAACACAAGATGACCATCGGGCATGACAATGTGAAATTGCATAGGATTTAGCATTTGACTTCAAGCACAGGTGAGAACGTCAGGAAGAAGCAGATTGTTTGCTCTTTCGCTCTTTACTACGCTCATTACTGTCTTGCTTCGCCTCACCCTTAGAATCATCCGTATGGTCACCTGAAATAAAACAATCGACACCATAATGACCCATCATTCAAAATACCAGCACCATGCACACCTTATTATTTTCCGAATATCGTCCTCTTGAGCTTTCCTAAGAAACCTGTTTCCCCATCAACAGACGGTGGAGCATCAGACTCACCCCTGGGTGATTCGTGGTCCGTAGTGCTACTCGTTCCTGATTTCGATTCTTGCTGATTCTTGGACTGCGTAGATGACTTTGTGCCTACAATACAACAATGTAATGGAAAATAAAATATCAGATTTAACAAAAGATCTGAACCAACAGACAAGAATCCGGGAACAAGAAGAGACAATGGAAGTTTAATTGCATCAAAGTTCACAGTAAAAGTCGCAAGCCTGCTTCTCCTGATGCGCATCATTCCAGAGGCAGTCTTTCGATGTTAAAGTAAACCTTTTTCAGTCCTGGTTCTCTGAGCCGAGAAATCAGTGTAGGACTACATGTGCAGAGAGGTCGATCTATGTACCCCGAAAAGCTACCATGGAATCTATCATTAGAGTAACTTATCGATTCCACACAAAGGACGAAAAAACTCAGGTTACTCAAAACATTATCGTTTCACATCATTGAAAATCCCTAAAGGTATTTTTTTACCAGATTGCGAGTACCTACGAAGTTTTCGTCAACTATTGCTTGATCTGGTCATGATGCAGCATATACTATTTCGCCACCCATTCAGAAACATTTTACAAAAACAAAAAGAAAACTTTCAATTTCAGGCTGCAAAAATGTGAGCGTCTAAGTTTGGGGCTTCTATCGTCGGTTGCAATATGTCATGGTCGGGATTTTCCACTCACAAAAGATTAGAAGTAAGGTTTTGAAGGATGTTAGGGCGCATCTACTTAAGTGCAGGACGGGCAAAGCAGTATAAGAATAAAGAAAGCTCACTATTACAAAAAGGACTTGAAATAAACATAGAGCGGATCAGAGCAGCCTCTTCACATGAGCATGCATTTTCATACGGAGGCAACAAGGAATGAACAACGAAATATCGCAAATGATGGACAATACTCACTGTCGTCATAACCCTTCACGGTACCACTTTTCGGTTTGTCTGTAGCAGCCCACGCAAGCATTAAAGCTCGTTGGTCAGCACTCAAATAGCTGCAAAACAACATCAAATTGAAAAATAAAATAACAAAGCAGAATTAAAATTGTATACCTAGGTACTACAACTTTAATGTGAATGTATTGGTCACCATAGCCGGCAGAATGCATCCGTTTCACCCCTTTTCCGGATAACCTGAAAAAAGTCACATTAGGCTGGCCTTCTGCGAGATAGTGTGGACTCAGGCCTGATAAAAGCTCACCTCATTTTGGTATGACTTGATGTTCCTGGTGGTACATGAACGTAGGTGTCTTCCACAATACCCGGAACCTTCACAGTACCACCGAGAACGGCTTGTGCAATGGAGATTTCTACATCACAATGAATATCATCCTTATCGCGGCGGAATTTGAGGGACGGTGCCACGTTGAACATCATGTAAATCTGATTCTAAAAAAATCGCTAAACGTTACATTGACAGCTTCAAATTAGTGTAGTGGCTCAACTCCTATGAGGACACTTATAAGTGGAATGTAACGTCAAACTTGATTTTTGTAACATCTAATTGTAGACCCTAGGAATGGTTTGAAAAGCGATTAACTTAATTGCATTGCACATTATAAAAGCCCTATTCCAATCGACTTAAAGATAAAAAACGACAGGCACATCTATGTGGAGAACCTCCAAGAGTTTTGCTTTTTGGAGGTAAATATTCCAGAATACGTGAATGGGGTGCCAGACTTCAATTCATCCTCATAATCTTCAATACTTTTGTTAGTTAGAAGATCGCGAACACCATTATTCTGTTCAGGATGGAGCTTTCAACTGGGATTCTTATGCGGACAGTCAATTTGGTCATTCTCATGCTCAAGAGATGGTTATGGACATATCTTTTGAGGAAGGCTGTGCGAGGTAATCTATTCTTCATGATTGCGATTCATAGTGAAACACTTCATTACATTTTCGTAAACTAATTGGATCGGATAAAGTATCCATTTCAACGAATTCGTTGGAAGCTGATTTCTATTGGGCGTTCGATCAGGGGTACTTAGGCTTTACAAAATAAACGAGATTTCTTAGGGGATTTTAAAGGTGTGATTGATGTCGGGTTGAAGTTTTTGCCTTTCCTTTGCAGAAACTGTTAAAAAACAACAACAACACAACGGCTTTTTAGGTACACAGAAAAACATCTTCGTGAATGTGGTGGAAGATTGTCCTCGATGCAAAGGCACTCAAGTGGAGCCGGGTTATAAGAAGGTAATCCTCACTAGTCGTAAGATCTTTATCAACGGGAATATATATGGCTATTATTTTATCGGATTGGAGGCTAACCATGCTTTCTAGGTTTCATGCCCGTATTGCAATGGGACGGGAATGATAACTCAACGACTACAAGGAGGCTTCTTCTACCAAGCTTCTTGTAATCGTTGTGGAGGTTCTGGTCACTACAACAAGGTTTGCTCTACAATTATC